TGGTCCGGATGCCCAGGGCTTCTATAGACTATCCGCCGGACTCCTGTGCAGGGCTCCATGTCTAGGGTCCCTGTTGAAGGCCAATCAATCCCAAATGTTGGCCACTCCAATTCACAGTCTCCAGAGAGTGAAGGCATCTACAGAAACACCATAGCCTTCACCCCGTTTTCTGAAGTCAGAAAAATTTTTAATCATACATTCAAGGGGACTTAGGTGACTCTCCTTCGAGTTTCCTTGCCCCATTTCTCTCTTTCTTCCCAATCTATAAACAGTTAGGCAACAAATAAGTCCAAAACAAATCCAAAAGAGAAAAAACGAAAACACTTTTACCAATTCCCACACACTCAATTGCGGCCGCACTCTCTCAACACTCACAACACTCATTCAGACCAGAACAACACTCACTCAGACCAGAACCAGGGAGTCTCCACATTCCAAAACCAGGCAGAACCAGGGAGTCTCCAGACTCCAAAACCAGACAGAACCAGGGAGTCCCCAGACTCCAAAACCAGACAGAACCAGGGAGTCTCCAGACTCCAAAACCAGGCCTCGGTGGTCGTCACCACCTCGGTTGCGAACCGGGAGTTTAGCGGCGTCCCGCCTCCCGAGTTCACGATAACAGGGTACGTACCAAACCAGGACAAGAAGCTTCAAGAAACTTAAAAGAGAAACCAGGCCTGACTTACCGGCGCCGAGCAGGCAGATCCGGGCATGGTCCGATGTTCCAGAGGACGTGAAATTTCTTAAATTTCTTAGAGGGGCTTACTGAGAAGCCCCCCCTGGTGGGATCTCGCTGGGGCCTCCAAATGTTACGAAGCGAGTCCCCAAGAGATGGACCACCGGAGCCAATTTGATTAAGCATGCTAGAGTTTATTACAGATTCGAATCTGGACTCAAACCATGGCTGACGCAGCAGCCGGTAAACACCCAGGTAAGAGCCCTGATGGAGGGGCAGTCCCTCCAGAGCGCTCACACAAAAACACAGACAAACACACACCTACCGCGGCCAGTCAGGCTCTTCGGAATGGGGGTCCCTCATGGTCCTGGCTGGGGATTCCAGTCATGATCCCCAAGGACCACCAGGGAGCCGAGTCCGATGCAATAAACAAAAGAGCCATCTCTATGCTAGCATAGGCTATCCCACTCATGCTGGCAGCATGGCGGAAGAGAGCGAATATCGCCCAGTCCAGGAGTTTTATTCAGGTAGGTGATGTCACCGCCTCGGCTAACCCTGATTGGCCCCTCAGGACTAAATTCTAAAGACTGGGGACGGCCTGCAGGGTTGGTTCCCAGTCACACTCTGCTTGACATTGGATGTGGCCCTATCTTGCCCATAATACAAAAGCAGAACTAAAGGTTATCTACAGTTTCTACCCCTGAAGCTACTGAGTCAGTGGGAGTCAATCTCCTGTAACTACCCTATTGTTTAAGCAAGCAATCGAAGGTAGAAGTCAGATAGCAAGGTTAAAATTCAAACAGCAGTTTTTACCCAAGTATGAGTGCTACCATATTTCATTATCCATGTGCTTGGAATGAGGAACGAATAGGACCTTGACTTACCCAGGTCTTGATATTCTAAATCCCAGGAATGAGGAGATAAATAGGACCTGGGCACACCCAAAACTTCTTTGACTTTAAACCTCCCTCTGGAAATCAATAAATGTGCTGTGTTGTCTGTGGTGGGTGTTGACTGTCCCTCCATCAGAGTGACAGCCTCCACTCAGCACCCAGCTTTTGGATCTATTTCTGCCTCTTTTCTCTTTCTTTCCTTTATTTCTTAATCCCCAGCTCCTCCACTCTGGAACTAGTCTTTCTCCCTTTCCAAGAGGGGCGCGGAAAAAGGAGAAGCACCCACCGCAGTATCTCCCAGTTTCCTGCTGTGTGAACTTCACTCTGTGCTTACAAATCTATAAAAAATTGGCTTTCTATTTTTTCTTATCATGTTCCACCATCTCCTCCTTCTTCATCCAGACTTCATGCTGGAGGTATCTACTATCTCTTTTACTCACATGCAGACTGTTCCTCATGCTCTTCAGTCCGGCATGTTTCCTCTCTTGGCAGAATAATTAAAGTGAATATTTTGCTTTTATGTTTAATATTCCAGAGTTGAGGTTTCTGTGTGTATTAAGAAATGTTTAAAAGCTAATTTAGTTTAAAATTGGTATTCAATTTATTAAGGTAACATAATTAAAAACAAGTTCTCCTTAAATATTTAGTTTCAAACTACAAATTTTTCTATTCTACTTTAAATTGGGTATGATGAGAAATATCATAACTTTTTCACTGATGATTGGATTAATATTTCTCTATTGAATAGGATTGTTTCCCTCAGTTCTCTTTTGTAATTATAGTCCATTAAATATTTTAAGCATTTTTCAAAAATTTCTTTCATTTTTAATCATTTCAAATTCCTGACAGGACAGATTTACAACACTTACAAGCAAAATATTTCCAAGAACTCAAATATTTTTTGAAAAAGAATTACTTACATACTTATAAAATTATCTATGTTTTCCAGAAATATAGCAAATAATTTTCCCCCATAGTTTACTACTGTCAGGCCAGCAAGGGAATGCAAGAACTTCCATAATAGCAGCTGCTATTTTACCTAGATACTTCCTAACTCTATCTATCCTTCCCATGAGGAAAATTATTACTTTTGCACCATGAGCTCTCTCTTAATTTATAACCAGTTAATCACAAAGACTCCTCTTATGGCATTCTTTAAGCTTGTCCAAAGCAGAATACAAATCACTTAAAATCCTCCCTAAGCTTATTTTTTAAGAAATCTTATTACTTGATAATTGTTTTCAAATAGTGTGTTTCCCACTAATGAGTCAAGGCACTCAACCAAGTTAAAGGAACAGCCCCAGGGTGTGCCAACAGGAAGGGCAATAAAGCACCATGATAGAAAACCAAGTATTTATGCAAATCACTCTGTAGAAGTTTTTTAAAAACTGTGGAGTCTTGCCATGTGAACTGCACATTACCAAACCTGAAGTTGTTTATTGCTTATAACTGGGTTTCTCGAACCTACAAAAACCTTCTTTCCCTTGAAGCCAATGACCCTAAGACAGGCTCAGGAATACATCTGGCAGCAGTTCCTCTGATCCGACTCTCTTCCTCAAGTCCTACTCATCCAACTCCCTGGTCTCTGCACTGCAAACTTACTAGTCAGTGAGGACATGGAGGTTTTCAAACCTGAATGTACACCAATTCACACATCTCTGAGGGTTTTGTGCCTGCCTGGGGATTTAAAGGGGCAGCAATTTTTAAATGTTATGATTATGACTATTACTTTTCTTATTACCCTCTTAAGGTTTTTTTTGTTTGTTTGTTTGTGTTTTTTTTTTTTTTTACAATGTTCTGCTCTATCCAGAGTGGCTACTTGTTAATAGAACTTTCAGCTTTTCCCCTCAGCTTCCAAAGCCAGGCTCTAATCCACTGACACAAAAGTGGCCAAAATGTATCTGTGACCCAGGAGGATTGTGTGTGTGTGTGTGTGTGTGTGTGTGTGTGTGTGTGTGTGTGTGTTGGAGGTGACCAGCCAAGGTGAAATGATGAAGACAGCAGCCTGGAGTCTGAATCTAGGTGGGCTGGATGCTGCCCAGTGGGAGGGGTTAAAGACGATGCTGGCCTAAGGTGACCAGACGTCCCACTTTTGGCGGGACAGTCCCGATTTTTAAGAATTTGTCCCTCGGCATTTTAAAAAAGTCCCGATTTTTGGAAAGAGTGCACGACAAGCTAGGGAACGGCAGGAGAACGGGAAGGGAATATATGGTTTTCGGCGACCATGTGGCTATTTAGCCAGAATGAGTTTTATATTATTTTTTTAAATTTTATAATGTTAAATTTTAATAATAAATAATTGTTGAGAACTGATTATTGAGAACTGCTTATCAAAGTTCGCAATAACGAAAACATTTTGTAACTGTCTCTCAGGCGATACACATCGTACTGTGCACTAGTAAGCTAGTTAAACAAGTGATGTCATTACAAATCAGCTATTCAGATAATTTAGGTAAGTAATTTATGTATTTATTTCATAACTACATAAATTTTCTTGAATTTAGCAGACAGTACCCGTATTATTTATATTTTATAGTGGCGGCAAAAAGTCTCGCGCCGGTCTTCAAAGTGACACGACTTACGTTACAATTAAGTGTTGAGACTTTGAAAGCCATTTTATGTGTGAACTATAATTTAACAAATTCTTGTGAAAATTTTCATGACCTTTAAACGACAGCAATCTATTAAAAAAAATTCACTCAAATGAGAAATATGCAAAAAATAAAATAATACTATACATAATACTTTTATTTATTATATTTGTAAATTGTACTTATGTTGAAGTTTTTAAAAATGTATTACAATACTATTTTTGCGTTCTATGAAAATTTTTGTTGCTCCATATAGACCAAATTTTTAATCAAGAACCCCCTTCCCTTCCCCCCCCCCCAATAGTGTCCTGCTTTACCAATGTTAAAATCTGGTCACCTTAATCTATCATAGGTGGGCTGGATGCTGCCCAGTGGGAGGGCTTGAAGACGGTGCTGGCCCTACAGTCAGGCTGGGAGCTGGGCGCGGTCCCAGCCTGTGAAGAGCCTCCCCTCAAACTGGAGATGAGCAAGCAGCTCCCTCTGCTGCGGTCCGCTCTCCCGCGAGGGCTGCAGGCGGGCCAGCCTGGCTTTGCAGAGGAGCCAGCAGCAATCCTTGGCAGAGCCGGGTGCTGCTCTTCCTGGTGGGGCTCCTGGAAAAGTTAACGCGGCTCGTTCAACTGCACAGCCGAGTCTGGCACCAACCGAGCGCCCAGCAAACGGTCTCCGCTACTCTCACGGTCATAAGCCCGTTAGTTACCTCGGGGATGGGGGGGGGGGGGGGGAAACCCAAACCCCCGGAGAACCGGAAAAATGTGCACGCGGGGCGGGACGCGGGAACCGCGATTTTGGGAGGGGGGCGGCGGCGGGGCGATCCCACGCCAGCAGCCAATCCAGCGGTCCCGGGGAGGAAGAGGAGGAGCCAGAGCACTCCGGACCGCAGTGCTCGGTCCCCGCTGCGCGTCTCTCCCCTTGGCGTGCCCATCCCGGAGCCTCCCCGCGGCGCAGACATGGCCTCAGCGGCCACCCCCACCGCCGTGAAGGTGAGCTTAGCGGTCCTGGAGGCCACGGTCCGCCCCCTGCCCGCTGCGCCTTCGCTCCCGCCCGGGGGACCGCGCGCCCCGCCTGGGTGCCCGGCCAGCGCCCCCCGCCGAGTCGAGGCGGGAACGGTCTGGGGCGCTGCACCGAGACGGGTGCGCCCGGGGGCGGGGAGCGGGCGGGTGGGGAAGCTTGCATGCTGGTCCCCTCCACCTTTGGGCTCAGCTGCACCCTCCCCGTTGCAGGGTGTGGGCAAGCCCCTTGGAGAGGGGCTGCGGGCAGAGCTCCGCCGCGCGCCAGCCTTTCAGGGGGGGCGGGGTCCTGCCTTCCCCGGGGGGCGCGCCCGGGTGGGGCGTGCTGGGTGCCTGCTGCTCGGAGCCTGTCCCCTCGTGCTTCCGCTCCGATTCCGCTTTCTGCCCGCCGCCCACGTGGGAGAACTGTGTGCTTGCTCTTTTGCAAGCTTCCGGCTCTTTCTTCCCCCCCTCCCCCCTCTGTGTCTCTGTCTCTCCTTTCCTGACGTAGGCCTTCCCCTGAAGTGTCCCCTGCAGCACGTTGCTTCAGGCAATCTGACTTATGCAGCACCGACCTGGAGTACGGGCTGCTCCCTCTGTGGAGGCCTCTGGCTTTAAACTGCTTTGTTTGCGATCAGCAAGTCAGAGATTCGTTGCATTGTGCTCTAGCCCTCGTGCTGCTCTCTGTACTAGAGACCTTTGTGCGGTGGGATCCTCAGCCGCTGGAGAGTTCTGAGCCCTCCTCCTTCCCCCTCCTTCTCTCCCCCCTCCCAGCTTCCCTGGGGCTTAAACACTCCCGGCCTGGCTGGTGTCCCTGGAGAGGGTAGAGTTGCAGTGCCTAAGGAAAAACTGATAAAACTTAAGATCTCTTCGCTGTGTATGATTGGTTGGGAAGTCAGATAACTGGAGAAATTCTTGGCCTATGGGGTAGGGAGGAGGCCCGCCTCCTTCACCCAGGTTTCTCTGGGTTCCTCGCTTTGTGTTCTCACTTCCCGGGGAGAAGGCAAATCTCTGCGGTCCTGGTGTTGTCAGTCACAGTGACTGTTCGTTTATTAGGCTTTTTTTCAGCTTTTCCTGAAACAGTTGTGACAAGGAGTTGGGTGGGGAGTGTTGCAGTCACACCTAGACTTGAAACTCCTTTGACCATTTTGATAGGAGTATTGCGATCAAAAATACCTGCAGAACACTCCTCCCTTATCAGTAAGGGGGGGAGGGGGCAGAAAGAGTTTTTTGTGTTTTTTTAATTGATTTTTTACAGGGAGGAAGAGAGAGGGATAGAGAGTTAGAAACATCAATGAGAGAGAATCATCATCGATCAGCTGCCTCCTGCACACCCCCTACTGGGGGATGTGCCCGCAACCAAGGTACATGCCTTTGACCGGAATCGAACCCAGGACCTTTCAATCTATCCACTGAGCCAAACCGGTTTAGGGGAGAAAGAGTTTTAAGGAAGCTCATGTGCTAAGCCAGTTCCTTAGGTGCCCCTGTATAAAGTGGGGATTACTGCAGAGTTTGCTGGGATGCTGAAACTTGTTCAATGGGAGTGTTTCTGAGTGGGGGAGCTGAGATTCAGTTTGGATATTTTTTCTCCAACAATTCAATAACGATAGGCGTGGTAGCCACCGCGTTCAGTGGGCAGGCAGGAAATCTTGCCCTTACAGGAATACACTGAGAGAAATATTAAAAACAGAGAGGGGTGGTGTTTAAGACAACCTCATGTTAATCTTTTTCAGCATTCTCCTCGCCACACAGTCTCCCTGTAAAAGTGGTGCAGTGCATCTGAGTGCAGAGTGGGCCCGGTGTGGCACTGTGGTGAGCGCCTGATGCAATGTGGAATGATGCGTATTTTTGGCCTCGGCGAGCTGCTGGATATAAACTCAAGAAGTACGCATCGTGCTAGGCCTGCCTGCTACTTTCTGTCTTTTGAGGTTAGACAGCCTTTGCTGTTGAGGATCCATGATGCCAACACCAACTTCCCCCGGCTGCTGAGGCAACATCCTGTGGAGAGAGCATGAGATGCTAGTGTCCAGAGCAGAGTAGGCTGATAAAAAAAAAACAAAACCATGTCCTGCTCCCAGATCATAGAGCTGGAAAGTTCCTGAAGATCCGAGAGCCACACGAACCCCTTTTTGCGGATAGGAAGCTGAGGCCCGGAAAGGTCAGCTAAGGTGCCCAGCATTATACAGTCGGACCTCGATCAGTGGTCAGCAAACCACGGCTCGGGAGCCACATGCGGCTCTTTGGCCCCTGGAGTGTGGCTCTTCCACAAATAATACCACATGGGGGTGCGCATGTACAGTGTGATTGAAACTTCGTGGCCCATGTGCAGAAGTTGGTTTTCGGCCTGGGCGAGTCTATTTTGAAGAAGTGGCTCTAACGGCCAAGCTACACTCAAAGGGCCAAAGAGCCACCACATGTGGCTCGAGAGCCAAGGTTTGCCGACCACTGACCTAGATAGTAACAGAATTGGGCCCAGAGTCTGACATCCCACCAACTGGATGTTGTGAGATGTTACTGAGTCCCACCTGTGGCCTCTGTGCCCCGTTTTATTGTGTGAATACAGAGATCCTGCAGCTTTAAGGGAGAGGGGTTGTAGAGCGAGTGCAAGGAGCCGGCTGCCTCCCTGTGCCCACTGGATGCTCGCCCCTGTGGCTAAGAGCAGCTGTGTCTGCAAGAACCTCGGGCATCAGCCTGGGCAGGTGGCATGCTAGACCATGCAGGGGGCTGAGCAGGTCTTTGTCCCCCAGCCAGGGCATTGTGGAGACCTCCTTCAATGGATGTGTGAGTGGGTCCTCCAGGCAGCTGCCCAGCTTTTGCTCTGGGGGATTAAAAGTAAGTCCTGTGTACTATGGTTGCTGTGACAGGGAGGGGATGTGGCCCCATGGTAGGTGGGTTAGTGAGCCGCTAACAAAATGGCCTTGAGGGGAATGGAAGCAAGACTGGAGAATGGGTTCTTACGATCACCTCTTGGCTGTGTGTGGCTGGCCAAGGCCTTCAGATCCAAGGTCTGGAAATGGAGGACAACCCGCACACCCCGGAAACTGGAAATGACCCCGGAGCCTGTATTTCTTGCCCAGGGACTCGGGGGCATTGTGGTTGGGACAATTTCCGTCTGTAGGACTGCCCTGAGCAATGCAGGACAGAGAGTACTTCTGGGCTCTTCCCCCACGAAATGCCAGCAGCACTCCTCCAAGGCATCTGGCAGCCAGGAATGTCCCCTGGGTGCCAGGCTCTCCCCGGAGATTGGGGCACAGTGGTTGAGGGACCTGGGCTACGTCCCTGAGACAGTCTGGAGAGGAGTGAGAGCAGCACTGTCTGTGTCCTGTTCACACCGAAAGCCAGAGAAAAGGCTTTTGTTGTTACTGTTGTTGCTTTTTTTTTTTTTTTTTTTAATAAATCTTTATTGCTCAGATTATTACAATTGTTTCTCCCCCCCCCCCCCCCCATAGCTCCCTTCTACCCGGTTCCTGCCCCACCCTCTGCCTTTACCTCCCCACCCCCCCATTGTCCTAATCCAGCACCCCCCACACCCTTTTCCCACTGATAATTATCAATCCACTCCCTTTCTTTGCCCCAGATTCTATTATATTCACCAGTTTATTCTGTTCCTCAGATTTTTAGATTCATTTGTTGATAGATATGCATTTATTGATCCTAATTTTTATCTTTTTTCTTCTTCCTCCTCTTCTTAAACAATACCTTTCAGCATTTCCTATAATACTGGTTTGGTGGTGATGAACTCCTTTAGCTTTTTCTTATCTGTGAAGTTCTTTATCTGCCCTTCAATTCTGAATGATAACTTTGCAGGATGCAGTAATCCTGGTTATAGATTCTCACTGTTCATCACTTTGAATATTTCTTGCCACTCCCTTCTGGCCTGCATAGTCTCTGTTGAGAAATCTGCTGATAGTCGAATGGGTGCTCCCTTATAGGTAACCAACTGCTTTTCTCTTGCTGCTTGTAAGATTCTCTTTGTCTTTTGCCCTTGACATTTTAATTATGATGTGTCTTGGTGTGGTCCTCTTTGAATTCCTCTTGTGTTGTTGTTGCTTTGAGGAAGGCCATTTGGATTCTGTTAGCTTTTGCTCCAGGTGAGAAAGTGTACAGAACAGTGACAGATATGAATGCTTTATTTTCATTTGGTTCTCATAATTCTACCGATTTCTTACCTTCCCTTATTCTGGCAGCCCTCAGAGATATTGCTGGGCTTGGTTCCAGACCACCACAATAAAGCAACTTGTAATCTGTTTGCGGGTGAGGGGGGTCTTACCTTCCATTTGTTAAAAAACAAACAAGCAACACAACAAACCTACAATACCTATGAAGTGCAGTAAAGGGAAGCACAGTAAAAAGGAGGCGTGGCCCTAGCTGGTTTGGTTCAGTGGATATGGATCCTTCGCCTGTAGACTGAAGGGTTCTATTCTGGTCAAGGGCACATGCCTGGGTTGTGGACTCAATGCCCAGTAGGGGGCGTGCGGGAGGCAGCCAGTCAGCCAATCAATCTCATATTGATGCTTTTATCTCTCTCTCTCTTCTTCTCTGAAACAAATAAACATGTTTTTTTTAAAAGGTGTGCCTGTAGGTACCGGTGAGGAACTGTGTGCAGTGGACCCTAGATGGATAACTGTGATTGTAATCATGGTGTTCTAGTCTGTGCTACGGATGCTTCCAAAGCCGTGGTTCTCAAAGGACTCGGTGCGTCTGCACCCACTTGGGGATGTGTTAGAAATGCAGGTTCTTGGGCCCCACCCCAGTCCTACTAAATCTGGAGCCCTAAGGGGTGTGGCCCAGCAATCTGGGCTTAGAAGAGCCCAAGTCTATTCAAATGCCCACTAAGGTGTGACAACCACTGCCCCAGGGAGCTTTGAAAAGGCTGAGCATCTGCTTCCGGTGATTCTTCGTTACTGGTTTCCTGTGGTTGCTTTAAGGATGACCACAAACTGGATGGCCTAAACCAATGCAAATGTGCCCCCTTGAGCATCGATTGATGCTCT